TTAAAAATGCAGGGATGAGTTACAGATATAGAAGAGTGGTAATTAGTTTGTATAAACTGCAACAGGCAATTATAGCAGCAACGTAAAGAAGTAAATATTAGGAAGGAAGTCAGACAAGGATGCACACTGTCACAGCTACTTATTAATCTATACATCGAAGACGCGATCAACATCATTAAAGGCAGTAGGGATAGATATAGAGGGGCAAAAGATTAGTATTCTTAGATTTAGATTCTCAGATGATATAGCAATATTAGCATCTAGCAAGGAGGAGTTAGAGATAGGTTTAAATAAAATGGAAAGAAAATAAATAAATAAAAGTAAAACAAAAATACTGGCATGCTGGGAAGAAAAAGTAGGGAAAGAGCGAATGTAAAGATAGGAGACAAAAGATTAGAAGAAGTGGCTGATTTTAGGAATGCAGGAAGTCAGATAAGTCAGGACGGAAGGAGTAGTAGGGATATAAAGCAGAGAATAGCGCAGGGTCGAGTCGCCTTCAATAAAAAGAAGTCATTTCTATGCTGGCGAAACGATTAATTTAGAAATTCGTGGAGGTGCGTGTCCAAACAGTCTTAGGACTGACGACCTAATGATGATGATAATTATAATTCGGTAAATTTAGGGTATATTACTGTTGACAAAGGTATAACGTACCGAATTATGCAGAATTATTTCTCAGTGAATATGAAATACATATATATAGTTTATTTCGTTAGTTTAAAGGTGTAAATAGTTTTAATCATTACGTTAGAATTAGAATTAAGCGATAAATATTTCTAAGATTCGTTTGTGTCTATTAAAAGTGAAATGACAAGTATTTTGCAAGTTTGTATTGTCAGTCAAAGGTTTTGTTTCGTTTAGAGATAATGAACTTGTACTTTCAATGTGCGTGAACTTTGTGCAATGAAATTTTGAATTGTCTCGTCGTAAAAAAGAAGATGTTATAAAATTGAAAATAAAGACAACACTTGAACTTTAGACGGTAATCCGTTAGTACACGTTTATAAACAAACATTACGAAAATGATCTCATTTTCTAAAGTACGACTTGATTTATACTAGCATTTAATTATTAGATAATACATACAGTATATTACATAGTCAATTTAGCACAGTGATAATAACAGACTACAAGTACACAAAAACATTGAATTTTATTACATTTTATCGTACTGGCGTATGCACACTTGAGTTATTATTCATTCAAAAGCAAAAATAGCAATATGGATAGACATTGATTATAATTTTTAGTTTTATACCTTAGACGTTTGGTCTTTATTTCTGATAATACTTATCAGGGTATTGTCATTTAATTTCAAGTTATTAAGGCAGTGGTTTCCAACCTGGAGGGCATGCAGCTGTTTCCAAAATATCATTTTCGAATACAAACCAAAAAAGTTGGATAGGTGTCAAAAAAATGAATCAGCAAAATAGGTACCTATACGTAATCCACAATCCTCGCCGCGAATTTTTCGGGTACAAATGCTAAAACATCCATCCATACTCTTGCTGGAATATCAGTTGGGTATTTATGAAATTAGATTGTTAGAAAAATTAAGGGGGCGCAACAATTGTTTTTTTAAAGGGGGGCGCAGGTACAAAAAGGTTGGAAACCACTGCATTAAGGTGTAGATGGTAACAATTTACAAAATCACAATTTATATCTGGCGCCTTTCACTATTACATTCAAGACCATAACAATTCCAAAGCTTTTTCGTTTCTTCTAAAAATTGTTCTTCCACGCATTTTGTGTTGAGAGAACTAAATTTTAAAATTGGCCACAGGTTGGGGTCCGTGGAAGTTCAAGATCAATTGGCCGTGTTGTCTTACATAGGAGACACTTTCAAATTCATCGACAAAAGTAGGATATGCGTAGTGGGAAAAGGCTACGGGGGCTACATAGCAGCTATGCTCCTTATCCAGGACATCCATCAATCGATCAATTGCTCAGTGAGCATTTCACCTATCGTTAGTTGGCAACACTACAGTGAGTATTGCATCAACAATAATCTTTAACGGTATTGTTTCATCACTCTGTGGCTTCATCAGATGATGATTTAATAAAAATGTACAAATCCAATCCCACCACCTAATAATGTTGGTGGACGAGTAGCCTCTCCGAACTACATTGTGATGTAAAGCCAAAAGGTAGGGCGGAAAACCCTCTTGAACCTTCCTTTTTAAGAGTCGTCGAAATGGATAGGTGGTGGTTGCAGTGGTTAACAGCTAATAATTGTATTAAACGGGGAAGTTATGGGAATACTAATTTAGGAATAAACTAGCAGCGAAACCCGGCGTTGCTAGGGTTAAAATACATCACATGTTTAATAGTATTTTTAAGGATCCACTTTTTAACGTAGATAATATATTTCTAGAACTTTCTGGAACATTCCATATCGATTTTAACAGTTGTACACAATTTGGAACTTTCCAGATCATTCCAGATATTTCTAGAACTTTCTGGAACATTCCATATCGATTTTGACAGTTCCACACAATTTGGAACTTTCGAGAAATTTTTAGAATTTTCTAGAACATTCTAGATCGATTGTAACAGTTGCACACATTCTGCAGTTTTCTCGATCATTTCAGAAATTTTTAGAACTTTCCAAAAGGTCTCATATGTTAGAAAAGGATCGAGTATGTGATATGAAAGAGCTTTGTCAACACATTCCTAGGTTTCTTTCTCGCTTTTTCTCATATTTCGAATTTATGAACATAACAGACTGAATTTTTGATAAATAGAAATATATCTCAAATATATAACGTTAATCTTTGTCCATATTTAACCGTGAAGAATCTGAGGTAAAATAAGATTGTGGAATTTTCTTTAATGCACTGTATTCAAGACATATAAATTTGGGGGTATACAAGGGCGCGTCTGACCTTTGCTCCATCAACTACTACTATACTATACGTGTATGTGTAGTGGTGTAAAATAATAAATACGCTTTCCCTGATCTTTTATGTTAATGTCCTTATTTCAGATTCGTACTTCACGGAACGTTACATGGGATTACCATCGGAAAAATTGTTAGAATACGAAAAAGTTGACTTGGCAAGAAGATCAGCGAACTTGCTCGACAGAAATTTTATGCTAATCCACGGTACAGCAGATACAACTGTGAAAAATCAACATTCCATTTTGTTTACGAAATCCCTCATCGAACATGGAATTTTGTTCCGGCAATTGGTAAGTACCTGTCTAATTACTTATCAACTTAGAGAATGTAAAAGAAATCAAATGGAGTTCTGTGAAACCCAACTATATAAATGAACAACTAAAACCCTAAATTTCGCGCAATCCCAGAAGCAATTCTTGCTGAAAGAAAATTAACTTTTTCTTAAAATCCATTTAAAATAATAGTACAAAATTTTTTATAATAATTGTTTCTCAAAAATAAGCCGTCACTATAGCAAAATTTTTTTCAAACAACTGATGCATTTTGCAAATTGGTGACGGATGGAGCTAAATGTAGCTTCTAAGATGAGTTCTTTGTTAGGGCGTGGTTTAAACGATTCAGCTCTTCAAATATACAATTTATTTGCGAATGGTAAAAAATCAATAATTACAAATTATAAACCCCTAATTATTAACCTTAACCCCAAATCAGCCCCTAAAGAGCCATTTAAAAATGGCCACTTTGTTATGCCAGCATCAAGGACATGATTGGATAACATTTCAAACTAAACTCGCAGCTACATAAAGTAATAAATAGAATAAATGGGCAACTTCGAAGTCAAAAAACTCATTAATTTTTAATTATTCAATCATAAAAAATTAGTAAATAAATAATTGTCCCTTTGATCTATAACTGATAATGAATTGAATTGAACGTCAACGTTCAAATGTTGAACAAATGTTCAATGAAAATGTTTGCGGGTATCAAATGGTGAACTGTTGGTTTGATTCTTTTCTTTTTGTCATGTCTTTTGTTGATATGATGACTTATAATTTACTGGTTTGATTTGAGAACTCCTTCGGTCGAATTGTCCATCTTTTCAAGTCATGAACAGGTCTGTTCTTTTAACGTCCCATTTATGTAAATATTTAACTATCAATTACGCATCAAAGGGTTCATTGTTTTAGTCGATTTGGTGTCATTTGATCTGAAGAATCAGAAGCACTAATCTACCAAATACTGAGAAGCAATTTAGTCTTAAAAATAAGAACTTTTAGCCGAAATTGCTTTTAACTAAAAAACAGTGTGTAAAATAACCTTTTTTATAAACCCTACATTTAAAGGAACAAATGCCTATACGACCTAGTACAACATATTTCCTAACTTTGTTTCTGTGTGACATACAAATTGACAGGCTACCAAACAAACAGAAATCGAAACCAATTACGAAATCCAATCACAACCGCAAACACAAAAATTAGTTTGCTTCTGGTCATGATGATTTTTAAATAGTTGTTTGAGTTTTATTATGGAAATCGAAGGGGACCAAACAACATTTTAATATCACAACAACACATACATTTCGCCTATAACGTATAAGATTTGATTTCTGTAGCAATAAATTAAAAAGGAGAACGATTATTGATTAGAAGTTGATTCTTTGTGTTAGGTAAGGAGGTAAGTAAGCAAATTATTATTTTTATTATATTATTATAGATTTATCCCGATGAAGATCACGATTTCAGTAAGAAATCGCTCATACATATGTACAAGCAAATCGACCAGTTTTTTAACGATTCTTTCGGTCCAAGTATTGACGACTGGGAGGACTCAACTGGGTTTTTTATACAATAGTTTATAAATTTTTTAATGCGGTTAAAAAAGGACAAAAAAATTGTTGATTAGATAATGTTGTAGCTATATCTACCCCACGTGACGATCTCTTTTTCACAGGACAAATTGAAATCATTGCTATAAATTTAATATACTTTCTCCAAGTGCACCCGTAGTAAAATTAGTAGTAAAGTTTAAATGCTGCTCAATTTTTATTGGCGGTTAGCTTTTAAAATT